CATTTATACCCTCAAGCCTAATCTTGATGCTCAAGTGTAGTGTATGGTTGAGGTAAATCTTCATAAATGTGTGTCCATATCTATATAATAAATTATTGTACTTTGATGTACTAACTTTTTTGGTATGTACATCTTGATATGTGTACCTTAACATGTACATGGATCGTGAGGGTGAATTCGCATTTAACAATGCGATACGGGCGATCGGATCATTGCTTCCAGGTTAGTTCTAGAACTACTACATAACTATCAGTATTTTAAGATTTCAAGTTACTTTATAAAGCACTATAACTAGTTTGTTATTAAATATATTTTTATTTTTTTGTATTTTTTTTAAACAGTTAACAACATCAAAAGAAAATATTTTTCTATTTTTCTATATCAGATAATTGGTGGCTGATGCATGGTATTCGAATTCTGCACCTTCCAAAGCTTGCCATTCGAATTTGAGTAAAAAATTTCCTGCCTCAGGTTGTGAGAGCAATTGGTGTACATTTAAGTGGATATACACTCCCAAGCGGAACAAGTTGAAGACTCAGACACTGCAAAACCTCGTTTGTGTCCATTATAACTGCAAACTAAGGTCGCACCAGATATAGAGGTCTTCTTCTGACTATACCTCGATCAACCTGGATTACATCTATTGTAGAGACCTTGCTGACGAATGGATATCACCGAAGGTACCAATACTAGATCAAGAGTTCTTAGAAGAATCGGTTGGGGGCATGAATGACAATGATTACATTTTGGCAACCTATGAGGGGAACGTGGCGGAAGCCATGGAGGAAGATGATGACGACTACGATGAGGACAATGATGGCGATGATGGGGAAATGCGAGATGATTGGCATGAGCCAACAGGCATAGAGTGTGAGGTGCCGCAAGGTACTAGGACCTCATGCGGAAGAAGAGGGACTTAGGTTAGTTCTGGAAGAAGTCGAGAATGCCAAGCATAACAGCTACACCCCTAGACAAACGCACAGGTCATGGGTGCCATAGGCTAATTAGTCAAGACAATGACAACGACGATGGGGGGCAAACCCTAGACAAACGCACAGGTCATGGGTGCCATAGGCTAATTAATCAGGACAATGACAACGACGATGGGGGGCAAAACACAGGCTAAGGAGTTGAGGAGCATGAACAGTTCAAAGCCTAGGTGTCTATGGGCTAGGAACTTCACAAGGTAGTATTCCTACTTGGTAAGGAGGTATTGTTGTTGCCCTACAGATTCCACTAGGCCCCACATCAATGTTTCCCCTTGTCAACCCTGATAGCGAAATTCAAGAAAATCCCAAACTTCATCATCGATCTTACTACTTTTGAGTAATTTTTTTATTAATCTCCTTCAATTTCTAGTTCACTGAAAAAGTATTGCTTCAGGTGCCAAAAACTTTTCTCTGAAACCCAATTATGCCTATAATATTTTTGTTTTGCATATTTTATGTGACAATATACAAAAAAATACATGTAAATTTTAGACATTTTTTACAATTTTTTATATTTATTTTGGGATTTTTTACCCCCATTTCATTTTACAGTATAAACTCAGCACTGATCCGCGGACTAAGTCGAAGTCAGTTCGACTAATCGGGTCAAGCCACGATCGACTAGTCGGTCTGACTCGTTCTTTAACACTGGTGGGAACACAAGCGCTTGGAAGTTTCTCTTCTCTCTTATAAATTTGGAAGGGTTATGGTATGATATCCAGAAGGTGATTGAGAATTCAGGGTAGAGCTATTTATAGAGTTTTGGAGGGGTAATACTTGATTGAAAGAGATATTTTCTTGATTTAAGAAAAAACTGGTGAAACTTTGAATTGTGCCTCAGGGTGCCATTTAAAGTTGCATCCTAGAGTGGGCCATGCGAAAGTGGGTCCCATAAATAGTGAGACATGTTGGGATGAACTCTCAAATTGTCATGTGGTCTACCAGTCATATTAGTCATTGAACAATTGGACACAAGATGCATTAGTTCCCTTAAGAGTGCCATTTGATCTAGTGCCCACTTTTCCCTTGTGTCACAATGCAATTCTTGCGCCCCAGCCACTTGCTAGAAGGGGCCTTCAAATGCAAGTCATGGGTCCCATAACAGTCCATGTCATCTAAAATACAAACTTCAAACAGTGTTTTGTAGATGCTTGAGAAGAAATGGGCGTCATTTGGAATACCATTGTTTTCTTAAATGCACTAGAAAGATGGATGATGCTTTAAGAAGCATTCATTTTCTTCAATGCTGCAAAAAGATGGATGCTACTTCAAATAGCATACATCTTTCCAAATAGTGGAGGAAATTGTGCGCTACTTCAAATAGTGCCTAGTTTCTTAGGTTTCTATCCTCATTTTGCATGTCTAGTAACTTTGCCATTATTCTTTGTCAAATTGATGCAAACTTTAATTTGTTGGGAAGCTTTAAGATACTAAGTTTATAAGGATATAAATTTGAAAATTTTTGAAGTCCATTTTTCATATGGAATGTTGGATCTTTGGCAACATATGAATGGTTTCCCTTCCTTTCAATATATGAGTCTATTGAGAAATCAAACTCTTGTATAAATCTTTAGGGGAAAACTTTCTATGTGGAGGGCTACATATAAAAGATCTTAAACTTTTGTTTCACAGCCATCTAATCTCGTCACATCTTGATCAGGTTGGGAATACTTAAACTCTTGGAATTTTTTTATTCGTTTTTTTATAGAAATCAGATCAACATGAAATTTCGGATGTGTGTAACTAATAAGGACACACATGTAAAAAAACAGGAAAATTAATTTGGTAGAAATAAAAATGACCAAACTTCCCCTGCAAATTTCATGGCCATTTTTGTAATTTTATTTCTATCAAATTATTTGTTTTATTTTTTTTAAAGCTGTGTGATTCTGAGAAGGGTAGATATCCAAAATATGGGCTAAATCCGATGCATAGAAAACAATAAAATTAGAATAGTTTACAACTTCTCAACCATTTGATCGGACAACTGAGAAACAATAGTCATAGATCTTTTATGTGGCTTGCCACATAGACAGTTTGCTCGATATTTAGACCGTAATTTAGTTCTTAATTTATGTGACATTGGTAATATTAGTTTTTTGTGATATGTGCTGCATTGCTTCAAAAGTCATGTATCTACACATGGTAGGCTAGCTCTCTCCCTGTCCTAACAGACTTGAATGAATATGCATAAGGGTGACAATGGACCAGGCGGCCCGGTCCGTCCCAGCCCCAAAATGCCCTCCCAGGACCACCAAATTTGGCCCACGGACCATCCAGGCCTGAAATCTGCACCCCATGGCCAAGCTGGGCCTTGGCCTTTGCCATGGTGCCTAACCGGCTTGTATTTTTGTTTTTTGTTTATCATCATCATCATCATCATAGCCTTTTCCCGATTAATTGGATTCGGCTACACGAATCCCGGTACTCCATTTTACTCTATTAAAGGCCATACCTTCAGGGAAGCCATAAGTCCCCATATCTTGCCGAACTACTTCCAACCATGTGCTTTTGGGCCTATCCGTTGCCCTTTTAAGTCATTCCACTTGAAGTAACTCGCACCTCCTAACAGGTGTTGTACTTGGTCAGCACCACACATGGCCAGCCCACCTAAGTCTACTCTCTCTCATCTTATCGCCTATTGATGCCACACCTAAATTCTCCCGAATGGATTTATTCCGAATTATATCCCCTCTTGTTTTGCCATCTCATCTTATCGCCTATTTGTTTTCTTTTTTGATATTATTTTTATTTGATTTTTATTAGGTTGGCCCAGCCCAACCCATTAATAGGGCTGGCTGGCTGGCTTACCTAGCCCAAGAGTAGGGCCCAGCGTGGCTCGGCCCAGCCCTAGACTGGCCTGTTGCCACCCTATCTACTTCCAAGTTCATCCTCTTCTTCCAAGGTTTATGTGAGGAATTTTTGATGGCCTGCTTAAATAAATGCCACTCGTAACTGGCTACAATGGAAGCTAAAGCTCTCACTATAGTCATTTTGGAAGATGCAAGAGTTTCTTGCAACCCCATATTTTTTAGTGAACTTCTATTATGCGAGACCCTAGCCGACAGGGTTGATGACTATGTGAAAAACCAGAGGAAAAACAATAATGAACGGTATCAATCACGAAGCCAAAGCTAACACAATGAAAAAGAAAGAGTACAAGCAAAGACAATGAGTTGAACATCACAGCTCCAAAAGGTACAAGATGGCCTCTCATGATACATGAAAAGTCCCTCTCTAAGCAACAAACGCATACAGAACTTATAGATTGTCTCAAACCCTAACTTAACCTCTAAGAACCAAATTCATATGTCAAAAATATCCCCATAAGAGTCCCAATTTTGAGTTGGGGACTCCCCCCTGAAACCTCACCAAAGGGATTTGTAGTCCCCCTAGACCAATTAAAGCTGGGGTGCAAGAGGGCCTGTGGTCAACATAGGATTGATAGTGGGTTACACCATAGATTCACAGCATAGTTGCACAGCAACACTTTGGTTGCATGCCCATCTTTGTACAGACCCATCTGTTCCATCTAAAATAGTTTCAACTTGTATAAGCCATCCGCTGTCAAGTGCTTTTTTTGTGTGGTAATGCTGTGAAGTCCATTGTGCTGTGTTTTTAGAGCTCAAATGTCCTCTGATAGCTAGGTGAGATGAAAATCAACTCGTTAAATATATATATAATACATTTAACTTTCGACACTGCATTAGGCAAATCAATGAAAGAAGATGGTAGAACTGGGGAAGGGGAAGTAGCACAAGAATAACTTCATTGGGTAGGTCCTTCATCGGTCAATATTAATGAAAGCTCCAATTCTTGAAACGGTCTAGAAACCAGATTATTCGTTTGCTGACCTATTTTTATGCTTATATATAACTTTGTTAGCTTCTCGGGTATTCTAATTTTTTTCCATATTTTTTGTTTCATTGTCAATCCTGCTCCTTGGTTGTCTATGTTTTTCTTCTTAATACGTGACGATCCACTAACAAATCAGGTGAAATTCTGTGACAGATATTCAATGATTTCTTGCACAAGGAATATGGCGGTCCTGGCACCCTCTTGGTGGAACCCTTTACTGATATGCTGGTTGTCCTCAAAGAAAAGAAATTGCCTGGAGCACCAGTAGCTGCAAGAGCTGCTCTCTTATGGGCCCAAAATTATGTTGATAGAGACTGGGAAAATTGGACCTTACAACCTGATAAATGACTAGGCTCTTCTCATTCTGTTCTTTCTCACTCCTTGCTATTATTGTTGGGAGTGCATGACCAGATGCAGCTGATTAATACTATCATTGAGAGAATAAGTTGCCATCCTCTGCTCTCAAGGACAGGGCTCTGAATTTTTAAGAGAGAAACAGCAGTCACACACATTGAATAACATTGATATGATTCTGTATTTTGGATGGATGTAGTTTATGACGGGCTCAATCAATAGCATGTGCATTTTGTCATTGTTAAGAGTTATTTCAAGAGGTTGCTGTCTACGTTAACTTCCTGTGTCTAATACTGCTTAAAGGTAGTGATCGAGAAACACGGGGAGACTTTGGTGATATGATCTTTTAGATCCTTAGGTTTTGAATTCTACTGCCCTTGCTGGATACAAAGACATTGAGCACCAGCTGTTGAAGGATATTTTCCATTTCAAAAGGAGGTGGCCTCATCTAAATTCTTTTGTTCAGGGAATCTATAAAGGGTTAGTTGGCCCACTATTTGATATTTGCAACCGCTGTTCACCACAATCATATGATGGGATGGTGACAAACTACAAAGTTAGCCCTTGGTTCCCTTGCCTAAATTAGAATTTTGAAACCTTATTAACATTTCATCAAAACAAGCATGAAAAAAAAGAAAAAAAGAAAGAAGATAAATAAATGTACATGCTCATATTTTGTCAATGAGTGGGTTTGTGTTGTGCTCCGGAGAAGGCGCATGCACGAAAACCCCGCTTTCCATGAAAACCGCCACCCACCTTCAATCTTGTGTGTTTGCATTAGTTTTATATGTGTGCATGTTCTCTCGTTTACATGGAAGACTGGTTGCACAATGACATTCTAGTTATTGGTGAAGCTTGAGAAAATTCATTCTCCTCTCATTGGATATATGATCCACCTCTTTTTAAAAATCTAATCCACTTAGAGACCTAGATTTGTTCAAAGTATCAAATAATTAGGGAGAGCCGGTTGGCCTAGTCAGCCTAGCCCTAAAAAACAAGGGCCTAGGCCAGGGCCGGGTTACCTTATTATTTTCGTTTGGTTTACTTTTGTTTTTGGCCCTGCCCAGCCTAGATAGTGAGTCAAGCTAGGGCCTCTTGGTCCTGTGAGAGCCGGGCCAAGCTAGGCTCGGGCCGGTTTGGTTGGTGGTATAAGACCAATGGGTTAGAAATGTAATTTTTAAAAAAATTTCCATTGTATTAAAACCCGAGGGTTTAAATATATGAATATCTTAATATAAAATTATAATATATATATTCCAGCTTATAAACATGGTTTATGCACATTTAAATAATAAAAATTTCACCCTAATAGGTCCTTTACAAATCTCTTACTAAAAAATACAATTAAACTCAACATAATATTCAAATACTTACAATGTACATCTCTACAAAGTATTGCATGATTTTCACTTGCAATTCTTCATTATATCAAAATTATATAATAATTTCATTTTCATTCTTTATCCTCATCATATATCATAATGTCTCATATACATCATACACTTGATCATAATAATTCAATGAGATTTCAATTCACATAAACAATAAATAATAGCATCAAAGCTCATACCACAAAATTAAATAACAACCTTAATATTCATATAACATACTCAATTTAACCAATTATGAATAACTTAATAAATATAAATGCATTAAATTAACATACAAGCATACATGGGGAAGCCATGGTTCGAACCCCTTGTGCCCAGGCTACGAAAGGGCTTTTTGATGACTTAATTTTATCTCATCGTCTAAGGCACATGCGATAATAATAACTAAATGAGATCAATCCAATGAGAAGCAAATGATCACTTTTATTTCACTTTATGGGGATTAAATCTTGAGAGAGACATGTATCAAAATAGCCCTTCAAAGTTTGAGAGATATACTACACAAAATAAAGAAGTTATGGTGAAACTACATCATGTGATCCATAAGGGACCACACAAACTTTTCAACATTAGAAAAGGAACTCAATGGACTATTTCATATGCTCAAATATGATGAAATAAACCTCTCATTAGTTGTATATTATCAGTAAAAATTTCAGAAAAATAAGATCAAGAAAATCAATGTGAAACTACTTAAGATCATGGAGAAAACAAGTCAATCTACACATACCATGTGTATGGACTACACTATTATTTTGAGACTCTTCAAATATCAAATTTTTTATTACCAAAATAAAGAAAGCTACTGTAAATTAAAAATTACAACAAGCTTTGATAATGAAAATGATGTAGGAATTAAAATATAAGAAGAAAAATCAATACCTTAGTGAAACAATAATATCGGCTCGATCACACAAATGACTTACTACTCTATGTCAGGGTTTCAAATGAAAGCTCAAGGAAGAAGATAGTTTCATAGGTAGCAACCTATTTGTCAAGGAGGACTCTCTTTCTTACTTTGAAGTGAATACACAAATAAGGGTTATAATTGTTCTGATTACTTAGATAACAAAGGTAGATTCGATCTTGATCTTTGATGCCTTAGATCAATGGCACATGAGAGGCTTTTATCCAAGTCACTCATCCATATCTTATTACTAAGATCAATGGATAAGTTTTTGACATCCCTCACTCTTTAAAACCTAGGTTTATAGTCATTTTAGCTTAAAACTCTTCGCTCCATATTTTATTTCTCATTAAATCCAAATTTATGTTTACACTTATGCCCATGATTTTTTAATAATTTGTGAGAGTCAATAAAAAGACAAGGACATGGACATAAAGATAATATGGGATATCCACACATGTGAATAAAATATCTTATGACACTATCAATAGGATTTCAACAACAATAAAGTTTCACATGGATCAAGCCCATAAGGTGGTGCCACATAAGATATACCCACATGCCACAAAATCATATGTGGATAATAATATTAAATCAAATTAATTCTCAAAATCCCATAACTTCACACATATCAAATAAACCACATGTGTGAACAAAACATCATGTGACAAAATAACTCACTTAAGTCACAACATTGTGAAATATAATGTTTCAAATAAACATAATATAACTAAACAAAAAACAACAATTCCCCCCATAAATGGGCATGATGTCAGCGCCCAAGGAGTGTGGGGGTCCCACGTGGCATCCCAATGGCCACTTGGGACCCACGTGGCATCCCTATGACTCATCCTCGATTGTCGTTTTGGCCAAACAATTTCAATAAAATAATTTTTGGTGTTTTAAAAATTTCAAAAAAATCTCCAAATGATATTGCAACATTATTACACAATTTCTCATCAATATAAAATCGTTTATCATCACTTTTAGATTAATTTGGGCCAAAAGTAAATAATATCTCTAGACTTATAACGATAGTCGAAATCTTCAATTGGGCTAACCCGAATGATGTTCCACCGGTGTCTCAAGCCGACCTAATGGATATATGTTCCACAGTCTATGACAGTAACACATAATTGATCACATCAAAGTCGCTCAGCAGAGCTTCCCGTCATTAGGGTTCAATGGATTACTCGTGCACTCCTGTGAGACATGTTTCTACTTAATTACATGAGTCATCTCAAAGCACATGTACATTAGCTCTTCTATATCGGATAATACTATAGAATAGTAGCTTCCCCATATGATTGTAGGCACATGTTTTATGGAACGGTCCCATGTCAGGATATGGGCTCATGTCCCATTAGCCGGCCTTTCCATACAAGGCAAATACTTTTTTAAATACTCGAGTCATATTATTCTCACATGGATTCTCAAAGCTCTAGCTTATCGTATTAACTATGAGGCATTCTAATCAATATTGTTTTGACTCGGAGGTGACCTTAACACCTCCTCGAGAGACCACTCTCTTAAAACTCAAGCTTTCAATACCTCATAAAACTCGGTGTATATGAATCAGTACGTCAAGCACCCAAATTCAATCTCTCTCGCTAGCTACCACTGAGTGAAATACTCTTGGCTTTAAGGCCTTGAAATGTCACATAGCCAATAGGCCCTGTATGGACTAAGGCTAGCCCGACTCATTGCGACCCCTAAAATATTCGACCTTTGGTAGAAGTAGACATCCAGCAAAATATTTGGACAAACCGGTGTATTCATTATGAGTTCTTGGTAACCACTAATTGTGTGTTGAAAAATAAGGCCTTGTCATGTGAAAACTGTAATTTGGGTAAATTTGACAATCATTCGCTCCATCGTGGGGCCTGCAATCCTTGAAATTGATGCAACTTCTTCTGGTTGAACTTTGAAAAGGATCATGGTCCACGAATCTCTTGTTCAGCTTTTATTGGGAATTTTTCCGTGGTCTTTAAGTTGTGCAATGCTCCACTGTCCATACACATGTTCCATAAGTTCATCTTTTTATGAACCTGGAATATAATAGGTGGGAGGGGTATGGCTTTGGACAAAAGATTCCCCCTATCTTTTCTTATGAATTTTTTTGTCTTTACTTGTGTTTTGAGAATTGGACCGGCCATCAAACCATGATGGTGTAGTTCCAACAAACTACTCCGACTGTCGGTCCAACTAGTAGGAATAGATTTTAAAAAATAATTGTAAATATGAAGAATCTTTTAAAAATATCAAATACATACATTAATTTTATTTAATCAATTTAACAGGTCAAAATCGGTCAATTCGGTTAGATAAAACCAGTCAAATGTTAGTTTTGACTAGCTTTATTTTACCAAATTTGAGTCTTACTTTGAACCGACCAACCAATACATAAGGTCTGACCAACTGAACCAATTCAGTCTTGATCACATTGGTAGGGGGATATTATTGTGGTGGTCAACCGGTACGACCTTTATTGTGATGAACTTTCGTTGAAATGAAAAATTCACTAGGTTCATTCACTTTTAACTACAAATTTTCTGATAAATAATTTAAGCATTACTCTTTTGTTTCTCTGAGAACATTGGATGGATCTAAAAAGATGGAAACATCAAGCTGTCCAAGCATAAGGACACAAGAAAACCTAGACCATTTGAGTAATAGACCATTGTAGTCAGCAGCAACAAGTATTTGGGCTATTATTTGAGTGAGAAAGTGCCGTTAGAGATAAAGGTACGGAAAGTTCCGTAACACCACTAACAACTTTGGAATCCCTAAAGCTGTAAAATCTTACTAAACAAATGGGTGCAGTCTGTTGTTTGTAAAGAAACCTTAGATCCATTGTTATTTACTTTTTACTATGAGAAATGGTTTGATAGGGCTGCAGAAATATACATAAAGTATTTACTTTTTGTTATTTACCTTTTACAATGAGAAATGGTTTGATAGGCCTGCAGAAATATTATACAAAAAGTACTTACTTTTTACCATGAGAAATGGTTTGATAGGGCTGCAGAAAAATACATATGGTTTGATAGGGCTGCAGAAAAATACATAAAGTTGTACCTCAAAACTTTTAAAAACTGTAGTTTTTTCATCGGAAAACCGTCCAATTGGTTATCTCAGCCTTGACCACTACAGCTGAGAAGAAAAATTAGGATCGACTTAAAAGTAGTGTATTGTAACACATTATATAGATCATCTATTTCATCCTCAAAATAAGTGGCAACAGATCTGCAAGATCCGTACTAATTTTTTAGCTTTAAGTTTCGTAGTTGGGATTAGAAATTGATCTTAGAGTCATCATGGAGATTTCTGATAACCAAAATGTTTTCTGGACAAGAAATTAAGGTAAGGTTTTACTTTGGTTTTGTAAAACCCAGGCTTTACTTTGTTTTCATTGTACTTTTTCATATTGGAAAACCTTTGCTTTTGGTAGTTGTGAAGTTATATTGGATGAAATGAGTATTGTGAAACTCTCTAGTGCAGACAAGGTAATTCTCTTCACATTTAATTGCATGAATCGCTACAATTTCCTTCTCTGTAAAAAATACAAGCTTCCTTTGTACTCCAACATGATAGATGGCAGTGTTTGGAAAGGCAGACTCAAGTAGAACCGCTCCTGAGTCACTAAGTTTGATTTGGGCCAGGGAACTTTAATGTAGTTCCAATAGATAATGAGGAATGCCCGGGACCAGGAATCACCTGAGTATCCATCTAACTCGGGCATTCCCTGAGTGAAAATTCTTTGATGACTGATACATCCAACCAATTTATTCCTGTATGCTCTGTGTTGCTACATTGATCTTGAATGTTGTCCTGAACTTTTTAAAACTCTTTCTCTAGCTCCATCTTTGGTTTTGGCCCCATGGGGTTGCTTGTATCTGAATGAATCTCTCTCTCTCTCTCTCTCTCATACAAATTCAATCACTATCCATTACCATGCATGCATAAAGGGTGAAACTGATCATATGGGGCTCTCCCACTTTGTACAAAATTAGAAAGCGTACACTTTATTATTTTCAAAGCCCTTGGTTTGATTATACAGTGATTACAATGCCATTGTTTAGATTTCAGACTAGGAAAATGGTTGATAGGGCTGCAGCACTATCAAAATAAGTAAATCTTCACCGCATAACTCATCGAAAATTGCAAGTCAAGCATTGGAAAACCTTTACATCAATCGTCTCGACTTGAACATTATGGTCGTGAAAAAAAATAGGATTTCAAACTTTAAAGATAATGTATATTGTAACAAATTATCTAGACCGTTCATTTAACTTTAAAAATAAATGTTCAAAGATCTGCAAGATCTGCATCATATTTTAAGTTTAGAGCCATTATAGAGATTTGGTCGCCATTATAGGAGCAGTACTTTCGGGTTTTAAATCTCCAGGGATAGCTTACTGGGCTTTGAAGCCGTTTGCAATTGATTTGGTCATGGTGGCAAGCCCGTGGGCTTAGAATGGGATGGCCCACAAGATAAAGGATATATGGGAATCCATCTTAAAGTTGTGGTCCAAAGTGACCCACTTTGCTTGAAGATAAAGGAAAAGACATATAACAGTTGTAGAAGAATCCTCCTCTATTTTAAATGGGGAAAAAGTTTGCACAGAGCCGAGGCTTTAAACAATCAAATTAGAACCCATATCAAAAATCAATAAGTTGTTTTAATGCTTAAATATCCTCAAATTGAACATTTCGATATCAAGATGCATTGACATGAGAAAAAAATAGATTTTAAGTTTTAAAAATAGCACATCTTGCAACGTATTTTTGGACGGTCAATTTTTAAGTTTTCATAGATCCGCTCGATTTACACTATTTTTTAAGCTTTAAATTTATAATTAAAGATGAAAATGTATTTTAAAGCTATCACAAAAATTTTCACTATTGAAACCATATTTCTCGATACCATTTGAAGGTGTGCATTACTTTGATTGTTTAGAGCCTCAGCCCTATACAAACCGCGCCCTTCAAAGGTTGTTACCAAAGTTCCATATTTCAGCACTCGAAAAACTGACCCCACAAACTTGAAAAAAAATTGTAAGACCACAAAATGGGAACTATGTAAACCAGTTAAAAACCTGAAAACTCTCTCTAAAAACCCTAAAAACTCTCTCTCTTATAAAGTGGTCACTGGCAATTTGGTCAATGCGTCGTATTGGCAGGGTGTGAAAGGGGGGGCGGGGGGGACAAAGAACAAATAAAGAAATGTCAGTGAGTTGTAGTACTCTCTAATTGGAAATAATCCTCTTAGTCAAACCTCATAATTACGAATATTCACATGGTTATTTTTGTTTTACCAGTGTTCATGGTTTCAAATCCACCCTTTTTAAACATGGATTACCTTGAATTCAGAAAAAATTTCAGTCCTATGCCACAGATTTATAATGGCACGAAACTTAAAATGTCTCTGCAAATATGAAACCTTGCAGCCATCTCTCTCTCTATCTCAACACACAATGTGGTCCAATCTCATAAAAAATACAACAAAATATGAAAACCCCATCCTCATTCTTCTCTCTTTAAAATGCAGCAAAATATGAAAACCCATCCCTGATTCTCTCTCTCTCTCTCCAACACAATGTGGTCCAATCTCACAAAAATTACAGCAAAACATGAAACCCCATCCTGATTCTCTCCCTTAAAAATGCAGCAAAATATGAAAACCCCATCCCTGATTCTCTCTCTCTCTCAATGCAACATCACAATGTGGTCCAATGTCTCAAAAAATACATCAAAATATGATAACATAAGCACATAATCACGTATCCAAAAGCTAGAAGAAAAAAAAAAATGATTGAACATCTCTTACATCACGAGTCCAAGGATATGCCATGTTTAAAGTTAACAAAGTGCAAATTCATGCAAAATTGCAGGCACAATTGGGTTATCCACTACAAGAAAAACACAAGAGAAGTTTCTCCAGACTCTAATCCTCTCACATTAATGATATACAGAACGAAGCAAATAAGACATGATTAACAGCACTAGAGTAGAGAAAGAGATGCCATAACTAACAACGTCATAGAGGAACAGAGAGGTTCTTTTTCCGCCTTTCATCAATCGGGGTAGAGAGGTTTTTATGAATTGCGTATTTCCATTCTTATGACTTACCTCAGAATTTATCTCACCTGCCGGGTGAAAGTTTAGCTCATTCTTTGAGCTGCCGCAAAGGTTCATGGCTTTCTCACACTGAAGGGAAGAACTTGTTAAGTCTAAATGGCAAGGCGTAGAACTCTTCACTCCTCGTGTCCCCTTTAAAGGACCGGAACTTGTCCCACCAATGAAGACCCCTATCTTTCCTTGTTGCAGTGTCTCTTGGTGGCAAAGTGATGTCCAAAAACATAGCCACAATACTCCCAACAAAGGCTTCGGAAGAGAATGGGACATTGATGATGTCATTGAACTGCAAGTCGAGAGCAAGTTTCAGTAAATTCATCACTACCCAACTATGTTATTTTTATAGTTTGTTAGATGGTGAATGTCATTAACTGCAAAAAAGACACACAATCAGTTCATATCAGGCCCCATTTTTGTTTTTTTGATAATTAAGCACCTTAGTTGTTCATCAACTATAACTAAGAAAAAAAGTCTATTTCAAACAACCAATGAAGAGAGTATCAGTTCCTTTCTCTTTCCATATTTGACCACTGCCTCTCTTTTAATTTAGTTGTTTGATGGTCTAGACAAGAAACAGATGTAGGTACGTACCCATCTGGCGGGAGTATGAACAGGACCATAACGAGCAGATACCGTGTACTCCTTAAAGTACTGAGGAACTGAGAAGCCCAAGAAGAGAGAGAAACCAAGGATGAACTTTACTCTGAAACTGTTGAGGTTGCAAAACTGAAGGAAGGTAAGGCCTCCAGCGCCTGTTAATATAAGATAAAGCCAACATTAGAACTTCCGCCTGAGAAGAAGATAAAACAAGTTCGTTTCACCACTTCCGGTGAGAGACAGGTAATCCAAACAACTCTTTTTTTTCTCTTCTTTGTTTTCCCCCTGGGCAGTCCATGCATCTTCTCTACAATTACATACCCACATAGCCAAAGAACAGACAGTAGAGAGCAGCTACGATTGGTAGCGGGATAGAAGCAAATAGTGCCCCGAACTTCCCTGGAATACCAACAAAAAAATGTGTTCAATGCTCGCTTTACTAGAGGGAGGAGGAAAAACATAAAACAATTCATTTACTTAAGTTCTTTCATCAATAACATGGTACTTAATGAGAAGCGAGTTTTAAGGCCCACTTGTTTCAGTTAATTCTCTCCTTTCCAATGCACAAGCTGCTTCAAGGCTCCTAACAACTTAATCCAAGAAAAATGGTAGATAAAGCCAATGTTGAGTTTCTTATAAAACAGATTAGTACATTTATCACGGGGATAAGATTTCAAGACCATATTATATCCTTGATGTTGAACTGGTAACCCCACTTAAGCACTTATAGTAAGCCCTGAGACAAAATCTCCAGATGACAGAGCTAAAGAAAACAAATAAATTGATGACAAATAAAGCGTGACAATCATAATATACTGCTTGAAGATCAAGAAACCCCATGTAAGTTGGACATGATTCAGGGATGAGAAAGGTGTAGGAAACTATTGGATGTTACAAGTTTAAAACCAATGAAAATGATGCACGGAATTGCAGAATTAATGCATGAATTAACCTAAAAAAGTTAAGCCAATAAAGGAAAACAACTCATGGGAATCCAGAAAAAGAGTAAAGGAAACTTTGTGGCGGACAAAAGAGATATTGGGGAAAAGGCAGGAAAGGGAAACAGACAAAACTCAGAATCTCCAGATGAAAGTTTGTGGAAACAAAAGTTTGCCCAAGCAGATGAAACTCAGTGAGACAGAACGCATGTACCATATCAATACACAGAACGACCATATTTCAGGGGAAACAGGCCTAATAAGTATACACTAAAGTGTCATAAAATCTACCTTTAAACAATTAAGGGCGTGTTTGATTGGTGGAAGATGCGGGTTTGTCTTCCACTAAGTTCTGGAGTGGCAGCTTCAATGAGAGAGTATGGAAACCTCTACATCCATTATTCAATGCTATTACAGAAGCTGCAGCTTCCAAATGGCAGAGCACTTTCACTTTTCAAACACAGTAATTGCTACAGTTGAAGACACGGCCTTGGAAGCCACATCTTCCACAAATCAAACGTGCCCTCAGTGGTTATATGAAGGTCCATTTAAACCCAAGAATAACAAAATTCTATCCAATGCAAAATCTCAATAAAAAGTAATTCATTTCTTCCCCAGATAGCATGACTACCTAAGTTTTTGGTCATCTATCTGAGCCGACCTGATGCACGGGCCCATATGTCTCACATTAGGCCAATTTTGCAACTAAGTTGGTTAGAGGTGTACATTCTATGAGAAACACGTAGAGGTAAATTTTTGTACATTAAATTAAAAGTATCAAGGAGACAAATATGATGACATACGGAAAGGACCAATCTGACAATATATGATTCCTTACCTAGAATTGAGAAGAAAATCATGAAGCCAGCTGATATTTGAACAACTGTTCTGCTCCCGATACATGTTACTCCTATTAAGCCAGCATTTTCACTGGAAAAGTATATATTAATGTTAAATTACAGAGATGATAGGTTTTAGTAATAGTTAAGGTCCAACTCCCTCATAGAAAGAAACATGACCAAAGGGATATCTCACACTGATACAGTTGATCCATTCGCTGTTCCAAACAAACCATCCATCAAAATACCAACTCCCTGACATAAAATTTAACCCATCAATAACAAGAACAACAATCTTTTCCAGTAAGCAATAAGAACAATAATAGCATAAGACGATTATGTTTCATAAAACATTCATTACCAGCCAACCGGCACCGCGGCTGAGAATAGCAGGTGGCATTGGGGTGGCACTTGAAAATCTTGATATGGCTATTAAAGTTCCAGTAGACTGCATTATCATTCATACTTGACGGTTAGAAAAACATAAATCCTTACACTTTAAATCTTGATTACTAATCATTAAATCAGTAATCAAGGCAATCTCCCACCACACACATAATATGTCACTAAACATTATTATGATATAAAAAAGTAGTGGCTAAAACCACTAAGCAAAGGTAGCCCCAGAAGAAATAATGACATATGATATAAGTCATATTGACAGTTGCATATTGGCTTCACCCATATGCATACCTCCACAAGAGCAACAAAGGAGGCAGCCATCATGGCAAAAGCTTCGCCTGCATCAAATGTGGGCGCCCCCCATTGAAATGGATATGGAACTCTGATCCTGAACATAAAAAAAAGTTCATTCAGAAAACCGGCGTAATATTTTTGACAATAAAACAAGAAATTACTCAAACCATTGTTTTGCTTTTCGATAAGCAAGATAGGAATTACCATGGAGCCGCACTTATGAGTCCAGCTCTATCAGTGCGACAATGGGTTTGAGTCAATGTCGGCGAGTGTTTATATGCACCACCCACAGTGAGAAGATGTGCATAAACCCATATGATCGCTACGGAAAATATTACTCCAAAGAGTTTGGAAGTCTTCCTTCCATTTAAGGCATGCGGAACATACTGTAAATAAGAGTGCCCCAATAATGAATCAGATCAATATTCACAACAATTGCTAAAAATAATAAAATATAATAAACCTGGGGCAATGGGACCTTCACTTACTTGGGTGAAGAAGACCACTAGAAGCAATTGGGGAAGTCCAATTTCAATACATTTAGCCACCTGCAGCACCGGTAGACAATAAGAATAACATCTCTCTCTCTCTCTCTCTCTACACACACACACACATACACAAACAAATGAAATTAGATCCAACATAAGCATTTAAGAGATGCATTTCCAAGCGAAATTAACAAGAACGACATATGGCATTATCACGGAAACAAAAAGAAATCTCATGTATTTCAAAAAAAAAAAAACAAATCAGAGCAGATTTGACCCTATAGGAATAACAAATGCTTACCCCAGGGAACCCAAGCTGATAAAGTCCTAGACCAACCAGAGTTACAAGAGGAACAGCTGAAAGCGGGCTCAGAAACCTGAACCATCCAAACACCACAAAATGGAATCAAATAATGAAAACTATAAGAAATTCTCAAAGTGAGTAGCTAAAGGCCTACCTTGCAACATTGCGCCAAAGGCCACTGAACCCAATAATGATTTGGAGGGTCGAAGCCACAATTAGCGCCCCCTGAGTTCCCCGCATGGTTCGCTTAAATCTCTATATAGAAAAAAAAAAAGAGACTAAAAGTGAGAATAAAACACCAAAAAAACCAGAATTGTGTAAAGAGGAATCCACCCCATTACTCGACCACCGCTGAATCACACACAGAGAGAGAATAGCCCACTCCATTATATAACAGTTAATGAACCAGAGAGAGAGAGAGAGCACTCCATTATATAAGATAGCCACAGGTAGAGAAAGACAGAGTACTCTAGAATTAAAAAGCAAACAACACTCTGCATTATATGAAACAGTGAATGAATTACAGAAAGAGACCTCATGAGGATCAAGGTTGATGTCACTGTATCTACTAGCGAGAATTATCGAGATCGTGGGCACGACAAAGGTGTAAGAACCACCAACAACAGCAGGCAATCTTGTTCCAAAGGAGGTCTGGAAGAGGGTGTTCAAACCAGCAACAAAAAGAAGGGTCTGAATAACCCTAACTTTCTCTTCCTGCAACCATAACCATAGCCAGAAAAACACATTACTCCCCTGTTTATGTAACCAGATACTAGACCAAACCCAAAAAAATCAAAAACCAAGTATTGGGTCTTTCTCTCTCCTCACATTTCCACCGCCCATCTGAGGAACCAGAGCTGTTGGAATAATAACCGTGGTTCCAAGCATAACCAAATAGTGCTGGAAACCGAGTAGAATCGCCTCCGCTGCAAAACAAAAAAGCAAAGAAGAGAAGAACCCAAGTGAGAGAAACACCCAACAATGGTAAAATTGACGAGCGAGAGAGATAAAAACAGCGTTTCTCTCTCTAAAAACGGAACTTACGCCAATAAGGGCAACTGGCAACACAGTAATCAACGCCTGGAAGTTGGTCCTTTGATGGATGTGGCTGAGGCTCGTCTTGCTTTGGAGCAGGCCCCGCTCCCCCACCGCCACCACCCGCCATTACTGTTCCTTAAAACCTTGAGAGAAAGAGGAATAAGAAATAGGAAGGCCTGTAGACGAAGACGGGGAATGAACCTGAGTTTTATTCAAGGGGGGACTCTGGAGAGAGAAGGATTTAAAGAGAGAGAGAGAGAGAGAGGAATGTAGAGAGAGAAAAAGGTCGAGTTTTTACAGCGAAAACCCAGAAGAAGAGAGAGAAAAGCAAAGTTAGAGAGAGAAAGTGAAAGAGGAAAGGTTTCTCCACCGCCTGCAAAAAGGGAATCGATGTTGGGCGTCACAGTGAGAGAGTGGACAAAAGCGCTGCAACGCCCATTTTCTCTCTACACTGCAATTTCCAGATCTACCCCCCCTCATTGCGATGAGCGGCTCCTCCACAACGGACTGAACCGTAGGGGCGGAATCGGAATAAAAAATATTTCCCTCGCTTTTTTCTTTTCAAGACGGTGTATGACTGAAATACCGCCAAACTTTAATTAAAATGACAGATGTATAAGAAATGACCGAATTACCCCTGGGGTTTGGTAAGATTTGCAGGGCGGGGGGCGTATCTTTCGGTGAAATCCCTGTTTAACTTGGCCCACTGCTCAGTTGAAATTTACTTTTGCATCCTCCTTCCATTCTTTTTGTTTGCCCCAACTAGGAGGTAATCACTGCCTTGAATCAACCAATCACCGACACCCACGTTTTTTTTGGCCTTTTTCGTTATTCTTCTAATTTTTTGCTTGCTTCCTTAGTCCCGAAGGACCTTGGGAACCTCTCTCTCCTCTCTTTCTCTCTCAAAACTTTGGGTAGCCTGTGTCTTCTCTAACTTTCTCTCTCTAAATATTTGGGAAATCTCTCTCCTCTCTCTCTAAAACCGAAACTTCATTCCTTAGCCTGTAAGTCCTTAAGGAGCTTTCTATGCACTCCCTATGTCTCTCTCTCTCTAAAATGTGTTGTCTCTCTCTCTCTAAAATGTGTTGCCTCTCTCTCTCTCACTCACTTTTTCCCTCAATGTTATGTTATCTTTCTCTATGTGTCGATAAGTATTTAAAGAATTAGTAATCCAAGAATCGTCGGTTTAAATCGAGAATTATTAAAAATTATTATATTTTTCTACATAGCTGAGAATCAATCTATTTACAGGTGTCACTTGGCCACACAAGTCTGTTAGGGAACTATTATAATTTTTAATTATTTTTATCATTTTTAATTTTTTAAAATATAAAAATATCACCAAAATTTCTTTTACCGATTCCTATACCAAAGAATCGGTCCAACATGGTCAAAGTCGACGATCCAGATTAACTCATCGGGTGGCTGGTCCAACTATCGAATCTAGTTTTTAAAACATTGATTTTGACATACATGCGAATAAACTTTTTCTCAAAAAAAGCTCACTTTTTTTTCTTTTTTAACATTAGAAACTGACTTTTTCCTTTTTCATGAAATTTTAATGGGGAACGGTTTGAGGCTCCCCTTTCTATGCGTATGCTCTACACGTCCATATAGGAATGCAGAGAGTATTAAAGCACAAGAGAGAGGGCCGTTGATCACTCGCTGGTTACAAAGCAAAGAAAGCATGAGATGGGGGTCCAACTTGGGGATCTTAAAAAGAAAAATTTTTAATTTTAATTTTTAAAAAATTAAAAAAATATATTTATAACATATTTATTTATTATGTTCAAATATTGAAAAATATTTTGACCATAAATACTTATTTTTACGGTTTCACGTAAGCTTGTGAAAATATGTCAGGTCACAAATTCATTTTTAAAATTTTCTCGACTGGGGCATGAGAGTAGTTGATCCGAGTCGACTTTTCTAACACTGAACGTACCCTCGATTCGTACTCACGGTCAAATTTGTAAGACCCCTAAATTTAGAGATGTAAACTCCTCGAGTTAGCCATCATTCTCATACAAAAGAAAAAAATGAATATAGAATGACCTCAGCAATCCATGCCCAAGTCGGTGTGATTTCGTACAAGAAAAGAGGTGATTTTGTGGATCACTCAAAGAAGGTTGAAGTCGACAAAACGAATAGCCTTGTTTTGTGGTTTTGACCCTTCAATTCATGCTTATCAGTAATGGTGGCAACGGGCAAGTTGTCCCAGGCCCGATTAGGACCGGTCCAACAAATAACAAAAAAAACAAAAGAAAAACAAGGGTACAAAAGAGAGCCAGATTAGGACCAATCCCTTGATCCACCGCTCATAATCTTAGTAGACATGGCAATGGGGCTGGGTCGTGTCTGAGTCCGATAGGATCCAAACCAAGACCCAAAATTTTTTCATGGGACCCAGAATCGTACCCGAAGTTATCATACCCAGACCTAAGTGGACCAAAACCAAAAATAATTTATAAATATAAATTTAAATATATTTAAATATATATATTAAATATATACATGTATTATTTAAATATTATAACTAAATTATATAATTATAATTATTTAAATATTATATATTATGTAAATATTAACATTATTTGGGACGGGTCTAGGTCTGTTCTACGTAGACTCAAACCCAATCCGAATAGTATTTTTGCTCTAAGTTTTGGACCCCGACTCGACCCGTAAGTCTGATTTTTGGACCTATATCCAAATCCAAGTCAGGTCCGGGTCGAGGTCCAAATCCATTGCCATCCTGATAATCTAAGCCCAACTTTTCTAGGGCAGGCTGAACGGGCTGGACCATTGCCAGCCCTAATCAAACGCTATTTTTGTATGTCATGGAAGCCGCAAATGGTACGAAGGACGCATTACACGCTAAAACAACATATGTCCCCTAGAGAGAAAGTGACACATTTCAATGTCAACATTGTAAGGCTACTTTTATCAATTGTAGAGAGAGAAAATATATTTAAAAATTTTTTAGAGAAAAAAAATATAGTTAGCAACTCTTTAGAGAGAGAGAGAGAAATAATTTAGTGGCAGAGAGAGGAAGCGAAATGTGGGGACCAATTCAAGGTTTATAGCTGTGATGGTCCCATAGGAATTCAAGTTAAGAGGGGAAAGGAAGCTTTTTTTATTGTATATAATATTAACAAAATGAATAAATAGGGGACAAGGGATTGAATGATTGATTGCAACATTTCCATTACTCTACCCAATTCTTGTCCTTACTCTTTACTATAAAATCTTCTCTCTCTACAATTTTTTTTTTTTTCTCTCTCTCTAGATCTTTCCCCTTATCTTAGCCGAAATCTTGGTTTGCTTTTGTGTCTCTGTAACCCAAACCTAATCGCATACTCTATCTAGTACATGCATTTGGTTTTCTTTCATTGTCCAAAATCTAAATCAAATATGTGCACCTTTCTAATTGGTTTTCTCTCTCTATCTCTAATCTCTCTCCAATGAAATGAAGCCACCTATGGGTGAGACTAATGAAATGAAGCCACCTATTTATGAGTGACGTTAATGAATTGAAGCCACCTGTTTATGGGTGAGGTTTGTATACAGCAGCGATTCAAAGAGCGGATAGGGACCTGAATTGGGCACCTCAAAAATCGATCGGTGAATCGGTAGTTCAGATGTTATTTTATTGTGTGAAAAAAATAGTAGACTGTTGAAAAACAGTGAACTGGCGAAATATCAATTTGGATTGATGAATTGGTGGTTCGAATCGTCGTTTTACCATAGAAAATTGCTGTTGAACTGTACGGAGCCACCAGTTTCATTCTAGACTTGGTTATTTTCCTATATATATGTAGAACCACAACGGAGTGATCGGTTCCAAAATCGAACTGGGCGATTCGATGCCAACCATCCAAATGTTTTTTAAAATCAAATATAGTCACGCCTCAAAATTGTGCTGAAAAATATAGTATGTTGCATGTGTGGATATATATATATATATATGTGTGTATATATATGGGAAAGTATATAATGAAATTAAATAGGTTGCTAAAACATTTCTTAACAACATTTTTGGCGAAGTTTTAACAATTGTGTAAATTGGTATCGTTTGAATTTGCTGTAATTTTTGAAATTTGTTTTTTCTCTATTGTAAGGGGCAATTGGTTATCATGATGTAATTTGCTAAAAGATGATGTAATTTGCCAAAAGATGCAATAAAATTGTTATTTTTGCTAAAAAAGCATTTTTGAACTACAAATGTCAATGATTGAATAGATTAGAAACAAGGATAGCGAAGTTAAGGTTCTAGCATTTGACATACAGGTTGGAATCTCACAATTGACCAATAAAATAAAATAAAATAAAATAGTATCATTTATAATCTAAATAAAGAGGAAATAAAAATGTGAACAATTCGAAATTGGCTGCATTTTTATTGGGGGAAGGAAGGGTATTTTGGTTCTTAGAGTAATTAAATGGTACATGGCGGTTTAGAAAGAAGGGCATTTATATAAAAGTCTGGGGCATTTTGGTAAGAAGAAGGGTGGGCATAGCAATGAATGGTCGAGGTTTCGATCCCGATGAACGGATGGTTCACAATTCCAGCACATATTTCCCGGCACTTCATGATATCTTTGGACCTTGGGGTATATAATATACAATGTATGATATACATCATTATTTCAGCTTGTGTGAACATTTTTAGGGTTTGTATGGATGATGCTTAATCTGTTAATCAAGAAAGCGATTATCTTATTTAAAAATTAATTTACTTTGTATTAATTGTTAGGCAAGCTTTTTATGTTTTTTCTGCTGCATAAAATTTATATACAACCCTTTAAACCGTCTATTCTGAATGGAGGGTTAAGATTGTCCCAATCACAATGTCACGTCTTTACACTATTTTATTTTTAATTTTTTTTTCTATAAATTATTTTGACATAAAATTTTGGACGTCCGATCCTCTATTAGATTTGCACTAGTGAAAAATATAAAAAAAAATATTTTCAATAAATAAAATGATCAAAATACCCTTGAAAGCTTCAAGGGGTATTTTAGTTATTATATTTTATCGAAAAATTATTTTTAATATTTTTTATAGGTGCGTCCCAATGAGAAAATCGCACGTACCAAATTTCATATTCATACAATTTCTATAAAAAAACTAAAAATAAAATACTTTAGACGTCGGATCTAAGATCAAACGGTGAGTGGCTCTCTTGATCAAAATTGGACGGTTGGATGGTAGGGGGAGGATAGTTCTTTTATGCCGTAGGGGAAGTATAGAAACCTTTCCCTTAATTGTTTAGTTAGTTGTCTGACAAATATTTTGTATTATATATATTATTATTTAAATATATGATTTTCAGTAATTGTTTTGAATAAAGTAAAAATAGCATCTCAAAATGATGAAAAGTAGATATACCTATAAGTTTTTATCAGGTA